TATATTCATTGTTAGGACAAGTATTGTTTTAGGATGAATATGCGTTCATAATTTCATGTACCAAGACTGCCCTGTAAAGACTGTTCCTGCCATAGCTGAGGCTCTCATCATCAAGCAAGAGTCTCCAGCTATTAATTTACAAACTACTGGATTTGTCAGGACGTTAAAATTGTTCTCATAATTCAAGCTTTGATTCCAATCTGTATCCATAATACCCTATGTTTGTACTATTGTCATTTCAAAATTCCAAATTCACTTGTTGCAAAACTCGTCCTCTACTTGATAATGAATGAAGTTGCATTCGAAACGTCGTAAAATTAAAATTATAATAAAATGTCCCTTGAAAACCTGATATTTGACTTTTCAGTTCCTATCAAGAGCCTAATTCGCCGAATAGAGAAAAACAACAAGAAAATTGTCAATAAGAAATACTCTCTGGTCTTCAATGAAACCTGCATTAAAGATATGATATGCTGTATAGATAAAGATGCAGGTGTATATAGATATGCTTTGCGGCTCTGCCATGTCTTGTTCTCTTCAACGGGTTTGCCATCCATGCTATGTTACCTTATTGCATTTTATATTTTATTGTTCTTTTGTTCAATAATGTATTTTATTGTATTATGTTTTTTTATTATTTTTATTATTTTTTTAATTTTTTTTTTATTTTACAATTTTTTTAGCATTATTATTATTATTATTTTTTTTTTGCTTTTGTTTCATTTTTATTTTATTTTATTTTCTTTTTTTTTGTATTTTTATTTTTTTTATTTTTTTTTCATTAATCTACTTTACCTATTTGTTCCCTGTAATTTTTTTTGTTTTCTGTTAAATAAATTTAATGGTAATTTCATTAATTTTATCCATTTTATCCTTATTATTTGTCAGTTATTTCTTTTCTGCTTTTTTGTGTGTGTGTGTGTTCTCTTTGTTCCAGAATTTCACTTTCAGAGCTGTTAGACTGTTAGGTACCAATTAAACCCAGTTTAGGCAAGGGGCTTTATGGACTAGTTTCCAGTGCTCCTATAAGAATAAAAAAAAAAAAAGATCGTGAGTCGCGGCCGTTGGTCACAAATTTCGACAAGTCTGCAACACCCAAAATTGCCTATATTTTTCTGATGTGATGCGACATGATCAATCTTGAATAACTTTAGTTACAGACGTCTCAGCACAATGGGTGATAGTGTGCCATTCATTCATTCATATAATCAGAGATAGGGACAAAACAGACTTTTTATGCATCCCAAGTTCTTTTTGAGTCCTCGATATAGACTAGGAAAGTTTTACAGATACCAGCCTCATCATACACAAGGCATTGGTTTTTTTGTTTTCTGTTAAATAAATTTAATGGTAATTTCATTAATTTTATCCATTTTATCCTTATTATTTGTCAGTTATTTCTTTTCTGCTTTTTTGTGTGTGTGTGTGTTCTCTTTGTTCCAGAATTTCACTTTCAGAGCTGTTAGACTGTTAGGTACCAATTAAACCCAGTTTAGGCAAGGGGCTTTATGGACTAGTTTCCAGTGCTCCTATAAGAATAAAAAAAAAAAAAGATCGTGAGTCGCGGCCGTTGGTCACAAATTTCGACAAGTCTGCAACACCCAAAATGGCCTATATTTTTCTGATGTGATGCGACATGATCAATCTTGAATAACTTTAGTTACAGACGTCTCAGCACAATGGGTGATAGTGTGCCATTCATTCATTCATATAATCAGAGATAGGGACAAAACAGACTTTTTATGCATCCCAAGTTCTTTTTGAGTCCTCGATATAGACTAGGAAAGTTTTACAGATACCAGCCTCATCATACACAAGGCATTGGCTTAAATCTTGATTAAAAAATTAGATCAGGAAATTGAAAATGAACTGACTCTTAAATTTTTTTGCCACCATGCTGACAGAGGCACTTATTTTTATACTTTTGATAGAATTTAGCTGTAATATACAACAGATCCAGAATGAAAATATATGTCTAAATAGACACCAGTCTCATCATACACAAGGCATTGGTGTAAATCTTGATTAGATCAGGAAATTGAAAATGAACTAAAAAATTAGTTTGCACTATGCTAACACAGGCACTAATTTTTGTACTTGTGATGGAATTGAGCTGTAGTATACAACAGATTCAGAATGGATATGTATGTCTAATGTCTTACCATGATCATAGTAGGTTGAGAAAAATTTTTTTTTCTGAAATATTGTGGCTCTAATATCATATAATTTTTAATAGGTATGAAATCTTGCAGCTCTAATGTTATGTATTTTTGTTTGATTGAAAAAATTGCAGTTTGCACTTTGCAAACATGTCGTTTCATAAAATTTTCAACTTCCACAATCTGCATTACTTTAATGCTCCTGCTAAAATATCCTGCAGAACGTAATAATAATAAGTCAACCCAAATGTTTCCTTGAAGATCGCGCAGTTGCAGTTATGTCAGAGTGGTCAGACTGCATTATCACGTCATTCACATATTAAGTTGCCACTCAAGTATAGACAAATGTTAGTGATGCTGTATGATCAGACTGTTTTAGGGTAAAATTAGATATTTGGGTTAACACATGCGCTTGACTCTGTAAATAAGCTTGTGGTCATAAATGGCTTTTCATGGATGAGATATGGAATTCATGGCTTGAAGAAATGGAATCACGGCTGGCAAATCCATAAAACCATAGCTCAAAAAATCCATTCGCAACTTGCCAAGTAGATACGTATGTTCCATGCCTGGGACCATGGGATTGATTAATTTTTCTAAAATTCATTTTATTTATTCCAATCTAGCAAATTTTAATACATTTTCCTGATTTTGCTCTATTTAGCGTATTTTGATACATCCTGGTCTAATCATCATGTACAACCTTTACGGTGTAAGTGTATAATACTTTGATGTCAATTTAAAAATCAGAGAAAAATATCCTTAAATTACTGTTAAAAACAATTGTTTCTCAGCCAATTTCTGATTTTACAAGTAAAAATAAGTTGATTTCCTTATTTTTTACAGAAGAAAGTTCAGAGTACCAAGATTGGTGCAGAGAGGCGCGGGTTCGATCCCAGCTCTGTGCGCCAGTTTCTGGTCGAATCGGCAAGGAGGCCGGGCGGTTAAGCACAGCAGAATTGTAGCAGTGAGTTGCGAGTTCGAGACCGCAAAATGCTGTGAATGTTCTGCGATGTTAAGAATCGGCGACAGGCCTACGGCCTAATAACGCTGAAACTGCTATTATTATTATTATATTATTAAGAAATTTGGGAAAGGCCGTTGGAACTGGCAAAATTGGCCAGATTCACAGGCATTTTTATCTAATTCATGGGTGGCTTCTGTCCACTTTTTTCTTAAATAGTTTTTCTTTGTGAAGCCATGTTTTAGGCAAATAAGATAAAAACACCTATGAATGTCAGAATGTGGTCCATTTTACCTGTTATTATGAGTCTTTCACACCTTCTTTAAAGTAAAATAAGAGAATCAACAGATTTTTGCCCATTGTTTTCAAAAAACACACGTAAAATGAATGCTTTTGCCCCCAATTATTGGAAATTTATCCAGTATTGGCTTGCCAAACTGCAAGTAGAATAATTAGGCCAAGAATTAATGAAATTTTAAGCTGTAAATGCCTTTTCCAGGTTGTAAAAAGCCATTTTGGACCACAAACTTGGGCCATGCACACATATTATGCAAAATTTTTAATTTTATCACTGAAATAGCAATACAAACATTTTTCTTCATCTTAGAGGCCATTGAGCATGTGATGACTTGTCCAAGGTGTAGCATAATGCAATAAAATGGATCTGGTGGGTCAGCAAATCATGGTCATGGGACTAGATGTGACCTTAGTGCCCTGAAAAACGATCAATCTGCTCTTACCTAGTTTCCAGTACCAGGATGGGCAAAAACAGCAACAGCCATTGCTTGTTGTGTGATGCAAAAAATAATGAATCACGCCATGCCTTTGTCAATCACCTTTTTGCCATTTATTAGATAAATATTGTTTAGTTGTGCCCTAATTTACTACACCATGTCATTTTGCCTCCATACACAGCATCTGTTTTGTGCCACCAAAAAGAATAGAAGAGGCCACCTCCTTTAATTTCAGCTGAGCTGAAAAGCAAATTTGGAATTCAAAGCATAACTTCTCAGGAAAATAATTTATTGTTATAATTCTAAAAACATCAATAACCACTGTAAATAACTGCAACTTGATATATTTTCCATTGTTTCTATACTACATTGCAATAACAACAGCCTTGCCTCAGTTCTGACACAGACTTAGTATGTTCATGAATGTATACAAGTATAAATAAATATGATTTTATCAATATTGAATACATTATGTGTCATGATCTATTAAACAAATACATCTATTCTAAAATAACCAACAAGAGTTGCTTGATGATTGGTTGATTAGGTTCTAACAACTAATGTGATGATGAAGATGAAATAGAGTTCAGATATTTCAACACCTTTGATGTAGTACCTCAATTTAGCAATGTATATAACTGGTATTTCTATGTTAGTATTGGTTGGCAGAATTTGTTTTTTTTATCAGGTTTAATGTTGTTAAAAAATTAGAAATGTCCATAAGTACTCCAATTTGCTATTTCCCAGTGCAAACAAAAAATATTGTTTGAGATATTTCTAGGTGTATTCAAAAATATTGTTAGCTATGTTTGGGATAAAAAATATGGCTTTGATGTACCTATAGGATGTGGAATTTTATGTATATATCAAGACAGTTTCTATTTCTATTATATATGCCGCATTCAAATGCAGCCAAGTTGTCTGCATCAAATATTTCTGATGCATGCATGAAGCAATCCAGTGTGTGCTTAAGTAACTTGGGACTAATGAGTTTTGTTGCATATGTTAACATTGAAACCTACTTATGAGCCTTGATTGCACTTTATGATTTCCTGTATCCCTCCAGTGTTACTACTATTGCTGCTAACAATATAGATTAAACACTTCAACCTCAGTGATATATAACTAGCATCACATTTGATGATGGTGCCCATTACCAAGAAATGCCGTGTTGTGCTGCACCAACTCTCTGATGCTGCAGTCAGGAAGGGCAGATGCATAAAGCAGAGCCTCACTCAAGTGTCTCCTGGTGGCAGCAAATTAAAGTTTGAAGGTAAGCCCGATTCCATGTGCCTCACTAATCAATTGTTACTATGCAGAGGAGGAACTGTGGTTATGTCTGTTTATCTGATTTAGTTCTTATTTGTATCTATTTCTTGTGAGTTTCAATACAAGATTTGATAACATTGTGTGGGAATATTTCTTCTCATAAGCCTCACTCATCTGAGGTGGCATATCACTCATCTCACTCATTGTTGGAGGTCAGCCCCATCTAACTTTTTTGTCCTAATACTCACATGAATCAATAATCAGGTGAACATTTTATTTACTGTGACATGTATTGCTCCATAGTCCAGTGTTACCAGTACATTAATGTATTTATTTTCCAGCCTTGGTAAAGGTTGACCCTCCACCAGCCCTTGAAGTTTCCACTATCTCCATCAAAGAGGAGCCAGTGAATGAAACTGAAGAAGTATCCATAAAAGAGGAGCCTGAGGATGAAACTGAAGAAGTATCTATCAAAGAGGAGCCAGTGAATGAAACTGAAGAAGTATCCATAAAAGAGGAGCCTGAGGATAAAACTGAAGAAGTATCTATCAAAGAGGAGCCATTGAATGAAACTGAAGAAGTATCCATAAAAGAGGAGCCTGAGGATGAAACTGAAGAAGTATCCATCAAAGAGGAACCATTCTTATATGGAAGTGAGGTAGATGGAGCTAAAATGCAAATGTTTAGCAAAACATTTGAAGTTCCTGCACAGATTTTCCTGATGAAAATTGACAGAATGCTATTTCTGTAATCAAGTATTCAAATTAGGCATCAGGAGACACATCATAACCCAGTATTTTGTCTGAAACTTGAAGAAATAATAATTATGTGTGAATCTCCTTCATCTTGATTCAATAATTGCTTGTAGTTATGGGAAGTTTTATTTGTAATTACTTATGGTACATTAAACACCTTACTTTAAATCTAAATTCATAATTTTTTCCTGTTTTTTGTATTTGAAGAAAAACGAAATGTGATGGCCTTGCTGGCAGGAACCAAGTCAAACTGTCCAAATTTTTTTCTTATATACTTCTTTGCTTGTCCATGAACGAATAAGAATAGAGCAGAGAATTACTCAGGATAATATTGGATAACATTCATGTCAATTGAAATGAGTTTTAAACCCAAGTGATGCAATGTCAATACAATACAAATAAAGCTTTCCTTCAAAATTTATGAATGCCAATTTGATTTAACAAAACTTACTAAAAATGTGCACTTGCTCCTATTATTTCTACTTATTTTATATGTCCATTTTAATTTGAAAAGAGGTAAGTGAAATATTTGCATTATAAAGCAGCGATATGAGAAGTCATTTTATTGCTAGTAATTTGTGATGCTATCATATTCATGTACTGTTAAGAAGTTAGGAACTTGCAGGGGAGTCTATGAGGAGTTGAATATTATATCATTCTTCATAAAGTACACACATGACTGCAGCCACATCAATATTGTCCTCCACATCCCCCCAGGCTTGTTCAACTGCACATCTCAGCCCTGCACCTGCACTCTCCTCTTGTGTGCCGTGCAATGATGGATTGTTTGGGCTGCCAACAGTAGTTCTTTCATCTTGAAGTTGTCAATGATCTGCTTGTGATAATATTATATATCCATATTATATATAGTAGAGTAAGTCCTACTTTATGTGGCCCTGAACTATCATCAACAAGGACACAAAAATAGTGGATTAATATTGAGCATTAGAACAAACTACAATTTTTAAATTCAAAGGTTAATGAAATTTTTAAATTCAGAGGAGAATGCTTAGACCAGTACAAAGTTGTGACAGCATCTGTCTTGTAGCTCTGGGGAACGATTGTTCGGAGCTCCAGATTGGGCAGGCATAGTTAATTATTGGAAGACAGATGGTTTTGTAGGTTTGTTGTAGGTTTACTCCTAGTCTTGTAAATATGATGTTCGTGAGAGGGCTTCTAGTATGATTTTAAGTTATCTAACTTTTCTGTTGTGGTTTCATGGCGGCAAGGAAAGTGAACATGGCATCAAAGGTTAGGCCTAGGAGTTTTAGGTAGTGTTCAAGAGGTTATAAATTGTTCAGTTGGTTATAAATTTTTATTTGAGGGTGGTAGAGGTACAGGGCCATGTGAGGTGTAATGAAGGTGACTGTTGATTTGGTGGTTTAGATTTCCAGGTTTTGAATCAAACTTGAAGGTCAACAGTTTAATTTGTCTGTTATTATGTGAGATTATTTTAATCTATATTTTTATCATAAGCATGGCAAAGGTGGGTCAGCACCGGCATCAGGAGAGGCTGCTGGTGGCGCTGACGGTTCTGGAGCGTCCAGCTCGAAGCAACACATCAGGCTTGGGTGTTCCCAGCGTGGATTGGTGCCTGCAGGTGGAGGCCAACTGCAGCAGCGCATTGATGTAGAACATCCTGCTTCAGGACCCGCCCACTGCTCTAAATACACCTCTAGTTCAGGGAGTGGACTACTGCAGCACATTAATTCTGAGCATTTGATAGAAAAATCACCTCAATTCCCTGACTGCAAACAATCATGTACCACGAGAAAATCACTACAAGAGCATATCAACTCCAATCATTTGAGAAGAAGTGAACACCAATGCCAATTCTGTTTGAATTCATGTGCTACTGATGCTGATCTCAAACAACATATTCTCTTGCATCATCCTCAGAGAAATGCACGGAAAAATCCCAGGGGTAAATATGTGGGTGGTTGCAAGGAAATCTTGCACAAGCATTGCCTTTCTAAACGTTCATCAATGAAGAAGATTCGCTGTTCTGAGTGTGATTATGCTTGCAACAGAAAAGGGCAATTGGAAAGTCACTTTCTGTCTAAGCATTCAACAGAGAAACCTTTTCAATGCTCTGAGTGTGTCTATACTTGCGTCAGAAAATATGCCTTAAAAATTCATTTTCTTTCAAAGCATTCAACTGAAAAACCTTTCCAATGTTCCAAGTGTGTTTATGCTTGCACCAGAAGAGATGCCTTGAAATGATATTGTCAATAAATAGATACGTATTTACTTATGTCAAGATCGATTCAGATTTGAAGATCTTAGCGGGAAAAAGTGCAAAAAATTATCATTTAGCACATTTATTAAAATTAAAGTAGAAACAGAAATACCTGGTCATGCTTGCATGAGGGCATTGTGAGTGAATAATTTCGTTTTTAATTTGGTAATTATCACTTAGTTTCGATTTCATAAACTTATGCGTGGAAAAAGTGCTATGAAACTTACTTCTGTAAATTTGTTTTAAAATATCGTACACAGTGTCGAATCGATGTGTCATTTGCAAAAAAATCCCTCAATGAAGAGTTTGCTCTAAATTAGGAATTGAATTGAAAACAAAATCCAGAGTAGAGCGGATGCGGATTAGAAAGGAATGAACATCTCTGGCTCTCTGCTATGACAAACTGGAGCATCTATTTCGAAAGCATTGAACGAACTCAACTTCTAAATCTTATCTTTGAACGTGAAGTTTTGAACGAGTGTTGTTGTTGCCAGACGTATGTGAACTGGCGCCACGTGTGGTTGTCGATGCCTGCGCTGCCAGTACCAAACTTTCATTGTCGTCTCAGCAGAGCAGAACCTATAACATTGGAGACAGAGATATGTAAAAACTAATTTTTTAAAATGTAAATTTATTTGTAAACTGAGTTATATTTTGACTGTTTACCATCGGCGTTCATAAAATTTTGAAGCAATGCATATGCTTAATTTGCGTTCAGAAATTGTATGTTTACCCTAGAAAAAAATATGTTCTTGATTGCCACTATGGTCATAAGAATCCAATTACCATCAGAATGCGTGCAATGTCACTGCCACTGGAATCCAAACAGCATTAGAAAGCTAGAATGGACTGCCCCAAATGCACACATTGTTAACGCACTAATGCTAATTTAATAGGTAATGCTACATTTCTTATTTCAAGCGCCTAGAACAATAATGTAGTTATGTCACTATTGATGAAAATCGAAAAGAATAACATCTTTACTTTGTACATTCACTCACAAATACATAAAAAACTGCCTATGAATTCATCGACAAATAAAAAACTGATGATAGTTTTCAGCATTGAGACCTGAAAACTACTTGTGATCAGGATTCAGGAGTACCATCTGTACCGAAACAATAACATAGAAGGTGACACGTGACAGAGATACCAACAATATAATATCAATATACTCCGTGAAGAAAAGAAATATTTCAATTCTTCTATATTGTAAATTTTTAGTAACTGACATTCAAAAGAATGGTTTAATAATGGTCGTAAATGTTATACATGCATTGCATGCAGTATCAATCTTGTGCAACGAAGCTGGTGGGAAAAGCTTTGGCTCAGCCTGGTTAGTTGACTTAGTTCTCACGCAACTGGTGGTGATGTGCATTGCTTCTTCTTTGATAAGTTTCTTGAACTTTCTTTGATTGCCGATGAGTTTATCCTCATTTTGAAAGCTGACATAACAAATAGGTGCAATAAATGTTTTTTTTATATTCATTATGTCAAGAGTAAATAGTACTATAAGCCATAGCTAGCCTATTTAGTTCTTGCCGATAATTTGCTAAGGAGGATCGCATAAAATGAAAGAATTAGCTTTTTAATGTACCTAATGTTCTGATAGTCAGCCCTTTACTTCCACTAATTATTATACGATGTTTCGATACGATCTTTGAATTCAAAAATTTTTATGTTCAATGATCACGTTTATTTTTCTATATAAAATGCGAGCTTTATCAACAAGAGTGTAAGTATCTTTAATAAAACAATGCCAATTTTGACAATTTTTTTTCTTCATGTTCAGTTTAACTAATATGATACAAAGGAATAGATTGCATGCAATCGAATCTGCGTTTGTTTGAGCTGGTTGGGAGTCGGATGCTAGCATATCTTCCAAATCAGTTTCAGGTATGATTTTAAGAAATAATGATAAAAATTAAGGAGTAAATTAATTATGAGCGTAAATGAAAATAATTTGGTGTGCTCTGAATCAACTGGTCCAACTCTGAACAACTAATACATCAAGTGCTCTTAATCAACTCGTATATAGGCGACTTTTGCATTCAAGTATATCGGCAAGATCTAATGGAACTTTTTTCAGAATCAAGAGTACATCCTTTACTGGCTGCAACGTTGTGAGGCCTCCTCAAGATATCCTTTGCTCACCGGAGAGTGATGCATCTCTACCGGCGACCTCAGAAACGTTCATGTGGGGCGCAAAGCTTATGCAGCCTTCCCAAGATCTTCCTTGCTCGTCGGTGACTGTGAGTGATGAGTTTCTACTGGTGTCAGTAGCGACCTTGTAACTTCTACTGAGCACAACGTGTCTTTCAGTAGATTCCTCTTGCTTATCCGTGAGTGACGCGCACAGTTAACAATATTGGGATTTTCTCTGTGTTGCCTGACGTAACGTTCATGCCGAGGCCGATTTCTGACGACCTGCAAACCTGTTTCTAGTTGCCACTTGCCTGGAACGTTTTTTTTTTTCAAGGTGGAATGCTTTTTTTTAAGTGAACCTCTAATCTTAGATTTCCACTCTGCACTAAACATGCAATTCATGGGAGCGAGACTACATAGAACAACGAAAGCAGGCTCCTGGCATGCAGCTGACAGAAACGAATGACAATCGCTGATGCGGCAGCACGAGGCATAACGTTCATATGCTCAATGCAAGAGAATGATTAATTATGATATTTTTGATAGAGGTTTGAAATATTTTCGGAAGCCTAAAACGTGAACAAATTATTTCGTTACACTGACATGGTTGATTTCAAAATAAATATTTTAATGCAAATTCATGAGAA